CTGATAAAAATATAGAAGGCATTACAAGCCAAGAGGAAATGATTCCCGGAGTCATCATAGGAAACTGCCTAGTGAAACCTCGAAATTACACATGTCCTGTCACAATACTGAATACAACAGACGAAGAAATAAATATGTCATTACCACAGGTGACCATAACCAAGATAACTCTTCCAAAAGACGAAGAAACAATTAAAGTGCAAGAGATAGAAAACATGATTCCTCGAAAGGAACGTACATATAATATCACTCCTACGAGTACAACATTTAAATACCGAGGAGAAGAAAACCTTAATAAACATTTGTGAAGAATATAATGATGTATTCCACTTAGAAGGTGACCAACTAACATACACCTCAAAAGTAGAGCACGAAATTAACACGCAGGTCAATTCTCCTAGTGTGAATGTAAAACCATATCGGTTACCCGAAAAACATAAAGCAGAGGTAAACCGTCAAATTCAAGATATGCTGAGACAAGAAATAGTCCAACCAAGCGTCAGCCAATGGAACGCACCGCTACTGGTAGTACCAAAGAAGACGGATGCGTCAGGAAAGCCTAAGCTACGAGTCGTGATAGACTTCCGAAAATTAAACGATCTCACTATTGGAGACTCATTTCCACTACCAAATATTACGGACATACTGGATCAACTAGGAAACGCCAAATATTTTACAACACTTAATCTAGCTTCCGGTTATCATCAAATACCAATGGCTAAAAAAGATAAGAGCAAAACAGCTTTCTCAACGCCATATGGACATTACGAGTTTAATCGCATGCCTTTTGGATTGAAGAATGCACCGGCAACATTCCAAAGGTTAATGAACTCAGTATTAACGGGCCTACAAGGAATCAAATGTCTCGTATATTTAGATGACATAGTTATTTATGCCCCCAGCCTAAAAGAGCATAATAACAGACTTATTACTGTATTAAAACGGTTACGAGACAGTAACTTGAAACTGCAGCCTGATAAATGCAAATTTCTAAGAAAAGAAGTGACCTATCTAGGCCACATTATTACGGAACACGGAACTCACCTGATCCATCTAAACTAAATGCAGTAAAAAATTTTCCTGTACCAAAAAGGATCAAGGATATACAATCCTTCATAGGACTTGCAGGATATTATAGAAAATTTATAGCTGATTTCTCAAAAATCGCGAAGCCTCTAACTGCCTTAACAAGAAAAGGAAAGGAGTTCAAATGGACCACAATGCAGCAAGATGCATTTGAAGTCTTAAAAAACAAATTAATTACAGCACCTGTATTAAAGTATCCTGACTTCGATCAAGAATTTTTACTGACAACGGACGCATCAGATTATGCCATTGGAGCCGTGCTATCACAAGGCGCGATAGGCCAAGACCGTCCGATAGCTTACGCAAGCCACGTATTAACGCAAGCCGAGCAAAATTATAATACGACAGAAAAAGAATTATTAGCAATCGTATGGGCCGTCAAGCACTTCCGACCTTATCTATACGGTACCAAATTTAAAATAATAACGGATCATAAACCATTGATATGGTTATTCAACGTAACAGATCCCGGATCAAGATTAATCCGTTGGCGACTAAAACTAGAAGAATACGACTATGAGATCGTACATAAGCCAGGAAAAGCTAATGCCAATGCAGACGCATTGAGCAGAAATATAGCAACTATTACTACTGAAGAAACAGCAACTAATGAAAAAAGCTACAGCGAAGAAGACAAAAAACAAATTCTCTTCGAATATCATGACGCGCCTACAGGAGGACATCAAGGGGTAGAACGTACCCTAAAAAGAATCAAGATAAATCATACCTGGCCCAACATCAGTAAAGATGTAGAAAATTATATAGCCAAATGTGAGTATTGTCAAAAGAATAAACTATCAAGAAAAATCAAGGCACCACTAG